CCAACAGAGCAAAGATCCACACTACGGACATTTAATTACCTGCAGGGAACAAAGGCAGGCATGCAAACACGTTAGGCCACTCATATACAATGCCAAGTACTTTATTTTTAAAAAATAGCAGTGGCTAAGAACTGAAGAGTTTTATATAAAGGCTCCTTGAAGAAACTCAAGGGTGGGAAGGAAACACAAGACCGACGAACACCCAACTTAAGAGGCCATCTCCATCGCAGAGAAGTTCACAACGAGCAGAACAAGGACTACATCAGCCCAGAAAGGCCATGTTTCCATGCCAGCAAAGATCCCACAAATCCAGGGCAGCACCCTGTTTCACCGCCCGCCTCCCACCGTTACATGTCCATTCACATCCAATTCCACTTTTCCCAACCTTACAACCAACAAGGCTTATTATATTGTAAATAAACAAGGCATTGGTATTTTCGGCCGCCTCTTCTCTCCCATTTACATTTGATTATCAGCCAAAACACCAAAAGAGTGTAAGTGTCCCTTAGAAATCATAACAGCCAACCATCAGGTGACACTGTTATCTGCACATAGGCAGTAGAAAAGGGACGATCATTTAAAGTTGCATTTCCAGGAGAAATTAAGAGTTTTCTGCACACTTAACGGAGTTCCATATAACTTAAACCCCATAAAATTAGCTATACTTGCTCTAAAACGTTCCAATTGCAGAGTGACTGTCACAACCCTGCTTCGGACAGGCTGCCTAGAAAAGGACCAGTTACCCTCTGAGAAATTATGTAATTCAACTCATTTACATACCGAGGCTCTGTGCCACCCCGTTTTGATATTTCTACGGTTCCCTTTAAAAAAAAAAAAAAAAAGACAGCCCAAACCCATTTTCTCCTATGTAACCCAATAGTTTTAAATTCTCTTTAAAAGCATTCACAAACAGAACAAGCCAAAACTGTCAAATGGATCCTCTTCTGAATGAGGAAATGCTGATTCACTGAAACCAGAACATTTCACAGAAACGCAGCAACAAATAACTCCGCTGAGGTCAGGCAGAAGTTGTGACAGACCCTGCCTGACTCCCTACTGCTTCATCTCCTGGGCTGCTGCGGAGCCAGGGCTTCCCCCATCAGCGACGTCGGGGCCAGGCAGCCGTCGGGCACAGCAAACCCACGAGGAGATCCCCAAACCCCTGTGCTTCAGCTACAGAGAGCAAAGAGAAGCCACGCAAACAAACTGAAAATCGGATTTTCTTGCGGTGGGCTCCTAAGTAGGAGTTTTAGGGAAGCCATAAGATATCCAATGCAACACCCAGAAAAGGTGTAGCTGTCTGTAGGTCGCTGAAGATGACCGTCCCTAATACGGACAGCACCCTCAGGGTGGTATTCCAGTCCTGCTTTCTATCTCTGATGAGAACAACACTGATAAAATTCCCACTGTGAGAGCGCAGGCTCCGAACTCAAGGCAAGGCAGGACGACGGCAGGACTTTGCCCAGCAAGCCCGCTCCCGGTCCATGCCCAGCGAGGGCTCACGAGGCCGTACTTTCACCAGGAGCCGTTCAAATCCCAGACGTATACACGGCAGCCCAAATCCACCACCGTCCCAGCCTACTTCCCGCAGCAGATGCGCCCGGTATACAACGTCCTCTGCCGCACGTCTCCAGTTCACCGTGCCAGAAGCAGCTCAACTCGCACCCCCAAATGTTGGGACAATCAGCTGAGACTTTTTGGACCTCATTATATGGTTTAGTGCGTAAATTTGGGCTCCCCTACAACCCACTGGCCAGCCTGAAACCAAGCCAACGTGTATGTATTTGTCCATCATATAGTTAATCCACATTCCTTTTACTCCAGAAGTAGCACCAGGAAAGCCAGCATACATACCTCATGTTTTAAGCATCTTTAACCTCACTCACCCTCACGTTAAACAGTAGTTGCTTCACTCCGAGGCTTAATAGCAAGAGGCAGCACTTTACTCATCAATATTTCACACTAATTCCTGTAGTATGATGATTAAGCTAACAGAATTGGATACCTAGCCTCTGGCTTCCCACGTGAGCCTAGCCTGGTTACGGAGAAAAGCATGCTCAAAGGGGACAGCAACAACAGCGCTTGGACCTGGGGGTGTTGGTCAGCAGCAGCTGACCGTGCGCCGGCCTGTGCCCAGGTGGCCAAGAAGGCCAGTGGCACCCTGGCCAGCATCAGGGACAGTGGCCAGCAGGACCAGGGCAGGGATCATCCCCCTGTGCTGGGCACTGGGGAGACCCCACCTCGAGCCCTGGGGTCAGTTTGGGCCCCTCACTGCAAGAGACACGGAGGGGCTGGAGCGTGTGCGGAGAAGGGAACGGAGCTGGGGAAGGGGCTGGAGCACAATTCCTGTGAGGAGCGGCTGAGGGAGCTGGGGGGGTTCAGCCTGGAGAAGAGGAGGCTCAGGGCAGACCTTATCGCTCCCTACAGCTCCCTGAAAGGAGGGTGCGGAGATGGGGGGTCGGTCTCTTCTCCCAAGTGATGGGACAAGAGGGAACGGCCTCAAGTTGTGCCAGGGGAGGTTGAGGTTGGATATCAGGGAAATTCCTCCACCAAAGGGCTGTCAGGCATGGGAAGGGGCTGCCCAGGGAGGGGGGAGTCGCCATCCCGGGAGGGGTTTCAGAGCCGTGTGGGGGAGGTGCTCAGGGACATGGGTCAGGGGTGGGATTGGCAGTGCTGGGTTCAGGGTTGGACTGGGCAGCCTGAAAGGTCTTTTCCGACCAAACGCTGCGATGATTCTGCACAGCTCCCAAGCGTGGGAAGGAGAGGAAGCAGGCACCTGCAGCAAAGCCCTGGGCACAAGGACCGGCGGATCTTGCTGACCCCGCAGCTCAGAGGTGAACACAGAGCAGGACAGACCCAGCGCTTCTCGTGCCCAAGGCCAGCTCTCACCCAAGTGCCAGCTGGGCCAAATAACCGGCGCTGCTGGAGCCATCCATGAGGATGTGGTTCCCAGACATGCTTTTCTGCTAAGTTCTGCAAGCGAGAGGACGGCTAACTCAAACAGCAACGTCAAGTTTGGAGAGCCTAGACGTTCAGGGATGAATGGTATCTGTGATCTCTCTCCTCCAGTTTCTCCAGACACCCTTTCCAGCTGACAAGCCTCCACCTGCCCTTCTCCTAGGCTGGATCCCCGTGGACTGGCCTCCTTAAACAAACCCTCCTAGATGTGTGTTTTCTCCATCCATAACTGCAACAGGGCAGAGAGCCCTCCCATGGCTCTGCAACACGTCAACAGCTCACCCCTCGGGCGAGGGATGCTGGTACAAAGCCCAAGATCTCCTCACCTCTAAGATTATACCCCAAGGATTCCTTCCTCTTCCTCCTCCTCGCAGCCCAACTAAACACGCCAGCCACCCGACCTCACGCAGCACTTACCCGCAGGAACCTGTGACCGGTGACTGGTAACAGTTAAGCAACTTTTTCCACAGAAGTGAATGATCCATTAAGCCCAAGTACATTGTGAAGAGACACGAGGGACAATATTCCAGCAGATCTCAGCACCTCAGTCTCATCTGCAGCTTTTCACTCCTCTTAGTGCTTCCCCACAGTTTTCCTAGACTCTGTCTGCAGTCCTCCCTCTCCAAGGGACATCCAGCTAACCCTCCCTCTTCCCTGCCAGGCAGGGACTGCTCATCCTCCTCTTTAAGAGCAGTTGAGTTGTGTTTTGATCTCAGGATCCCAAAAAGGCCTGACACCATGCCAGAGCCAAGCAGGCAGTCACCTCCCAGGTGACAAATGCCCCACTGCTCTCTTAAGACCCTGGAAGTATTTTTCTCAGATTTCCCACCTCTAGTCACGGCTAATTTCTAAACAGCTCCTTTTGATTCAACCCCTATCCAGCAGGAAACGGCACCAAACAGCCTGAAGGACACACACGGTGAAATACATGTTTATGGAAAGAGAGATCTCACATACCCTACAGACAAAAATAACCCGTTCCAAGAAGTCAGTTTGCTGCTAAATAAGTTACTGCAAAACTACTAATAAATCCACTTTTTGACTGTATGAACAGGATGCTCAGAGGGAACAAACCACGCCAAGATCTACCCCATCCTCAAGAAGGACTCAAATTCTCTTGCTCTCCAACACCTCTGTCCCAGCGTTTTACACCTTCTGGAATGCGTGCTGGCCAGGGCAGCGCAGCAACACACAAGGAGCTTCCTATCTCCTGAGTATTTTTAGGATTACAGATGTGTGGTGGAGCTTCCTAACTCTCCGGACAGGTCATTGTCAGCTGCAGTAACTGGGGGTGTTCTCAACAGATCTGCGTTCCTCTTGCTCTCCAACACCTCTGTCCCAGCGTTTTACACCTTCTGGAATGCGTGCTGGCCAGGGCAGCGCAGCAACACACAAGGAGCTTCCTATCTCCTGAGTATTTTTAGGATTACAGATGTGTGGTGGAGCTTCCTAACTCTCCGGACAGGTCATTGTCAGCTGCAGTAACTGGGGGTGTTCTCAACAGATCTGCGTTCCGATCTTCACTTTATTTCTTAACAAATACAGGTCAAGAAAATCATCCATGAAATCAGCCCTTTGGTTGACAAAGCACAATGAGCCAGAGTTTGAAACAAAACATCTGATGCAAAATTGACTTTAAACGCACTAATACCACCATCCAAGGCTATGCTAGCAAATTGTTCGGTGTCCAGCATACCTGGGATGCTGGCGCGTGGTTTTTAGCATTTGACCATAAAAGAAAGGACAGGTTTGGGAAAAAAAAAAGCAAACCACAGTCAAACGGGAATGCAGGAGCCTAAGGTGTGTCTCTTGCCTAGAAAGGGCTTGGTTTGGCAACTGAATGTTGTAAAACGCTTACAGTCCTCCCAGAGTACACGTACATGCTTGGCCAAGGTGACTAAGAGCCTTCCTGGCTTTCATGATGCTATTTTTTGATGCTCAACAGGTATTCAGCAGCAAGAAACCACAGCTTCAAGGCTCTGGCAACCTTAAATTACCATGGAATCACCAACGAAGAATTTAGAAA